GTACATCGCCTTATGGACATTTTTGGAGTAAAAAAGTAACGAATTTGGTTTTATAAACATTACATCACACATTATTTTCACATTATTCACCATTGGACAACATTTACGTTCACATACGTTCTTTTATATAAATTCTTTTCAAAGCGAAGATTATTATCCGCTAGGAATACTTTCTCTTCTGGGCCGTAAAGCAACCTATATTTAACTACTTTTTTTATATGATTTTACTCATCCAAGCACCACCAAAGCCAAATTAATTGCATTTTTAACTTCGAATTTGGACAACTCAACTCAACAATAATTATAATTTATACATAACCACAATTAGATTTATAACTTAGCTTAGCTTAGTTTGTTTTAATTAAGATGCAAATCTAAAATCTAAAATCCCAGGTGTTATTTTTTTTAATTACGCGTTTTTTAGGTTTAGATGTTTAGTCAAAAAGCAATTTTGTATAGGTACCTAAAGTTAATTTTTTATAAAATAAATTAAAATTTTATGTGAACACATGTGAATGTTGTCCAATAATTGGACTCCAATGGTGAATGGGTATTTTGTTAAAATTGAAATTAACAGCTAGGATTTTGATAGAATTGTTTCCATGACACTAAGAGATCTTTTAAATACCCATTGACAAGTTGTGACTTTATGGCGTTTTAGTCACGGACTAAAGTTACCTTCAAGTTAGTTGACAGTTGTCAAATGTCATATAGATAATCGTCAAAATAAAGTGCCCGTTTTGTAAAATAATTATAAAATGTGGAATGGCATATTAAAGAACTAATGTCATAAGACGTCATTTTGGCGCACGCGGACAATTTATAATGGACGAGTGCGACAAAAAGTCTTGTGACATGAGTTATTTATGCTATTTTATCTATTTTGGAAAAATTCTATCAAAAAATTAATTTTATACCTTAAATTTAATTTGGTCGAATTTTACTTTAGATAGTTGGTATCACAGTCATTGGTTTGACAGTTAATGTCAAAATCGATTCGCCATACCGTCCTTAATTTACTTATTTAAAATAAACGGCTGTTAATGTTAAAGAAGAAAAAAAGGATTTTCTTTGGTGTTAAACAAAATTTATTGCCAGAAAAGTCTCGTAAGTACTAGAAAAATCATAAAAATATTACAACCAATATGCAAAATATTATGCTGTTTAAAGTATAGCCAACCTATAAAATCAAAATTTTGGGTGGGATAAAGTATCTCATTACAGCACCGAAAGCGATGTTGTAATGAAGTCATTATGAACCAACTGACACTGACATTGTGAAAGCCGGTATAACAGATTCCTAGCACTAATTTTGCTTACTCTATTTTTCTATAGATGGCGCTCTATACAAATATTTGACGTCCATTTTAAGACACTCATTTTATTAAACACTCGCTCGCAAGCCTAGATCGTGACTAAAACTGCGATTATAAAAATTAATACATAATATACTTCTATTGTTAAAGCGAAAAAAAACTGTGGTGTAGATGTAGAATGTTGATGTGACAACACTGTTTTATTATTACCTCATGTCTATGACAAAGATGGGATTACGAATAGAAAGAGAAAATGTTAACACGGAGAATTTGGGGTGGAAAATTGCCTTAAAGCAAAATAAAAGAAAATCTGTTTATACCCAAACAGATTTACAGAGAAGGTTGTAAAAATATCAGACACGTTTATATGGGTAAGAATATAATAAAAAATCGATGAAATGTTGTGATTTTTTTTTGGCCAAATTACTTTTGTTGTTCCTAAAAAAACACTAGGTAGGTAAAAATGATTACCACCTGGATAAAATAATTTAAAAAATTAAACAAAATTTGACCTGCAAGGTGTCAGTTTTTGACTCATTCGCGCTGTATCGTACCGACAAATGTTTTTCTATAGTAAAGCAACACAAAAGGACGGCTACGCCCCTTTTTCCGACGATACCATATTATTAGGGGAAACATAATATAATGGATTTTGGCACGTGACTTATGAGATGCTCAAGGTATATAAATTTGTCAACAGAACAAAATGGCATGAGGCCCATTTAATGCGATATGAGGGGAAAACTGGCCATTAATTTTGTAGTGTGTTTCTTGTTCATTAAGTTTGTCAGACTTTGTTTAATTAACTCACTTTTTATCATTTACTACCTATTATTTACCAAATACCAACTCGAAAATTCAAATATTTATTTTTATTTGGTTGTTATGGAAACAATTTAAACAACTGAAGTTGGCAATGGTTGTCAGGTGTATTTTTTGACAGTTTGTGTGAAAAATCAACATCATAATTAAAGAGGAAAGTGGATAAAGTAGTTAAGGAACAATAAATTGTTAAATATGTATTTGACATCTGCCAAATTTAACCTTACTTTTTCGTAAGTTATAATAAGCCTGTGACTAAAACCCTATAAAGTGGCAGCTTGTAAATGTGGAAATAGATAATAATATATTACAGGGTGTTTTCGTATAAAGGTTTAAAATACCTATTTATTTGAAATAATATTAAAAAATTCAGCTTGCATGATCGATCGATTTTTTTTATTCTAATTTCAAAAATGTATAATTTGTGTTATTTTAATAATAATTGAACATAAGGGTGATTCTACAAAAGTTGGAAAACTTGATGTCATCAGTCAATAGAGTAGGTATTTTAATATTTTTTGTAAATATTTTAGTATATTACAAAAGATCCAGGTTTTTTTAACTTGTCCACCCAATGTTAATGTATTTTTTCAAAAGCACGTTTTTTAGAAAAACATAATAAATATTCAAAACATCAGTACCTTGGCGTGTCACAACTCCTGAATCAAATATTTGAGTGATTTTATTTTAAAATATATTCAATTTATCTTAAATTTTTCAATTTCACTACAAACTATAAAACATTAAATAATGTATTTTTCATATTTTATCAGAAAATCGAATAATAGCAATTTAACAAAAAAACAAAAAATAAAAATTATTTGCTGTTAGGTACAACCTTACAATATTTGTCGCGAACAACACTGGCGATACATTGAACAATTATTTTAGATTTGTTATATTTGTTTATTTTTTTAATATATTTTTTAAACTTTAAATTAATAATTCTTTTAACGTTGTTTAATACGAAATAAAAACAATCCAACGCACAATACTAATATTACACATCTATGTTTCAATTGTTCTTTCTAAAACTTTTCCGCACTCGCCATATGTATAAAACATGTTTAGAATATATTGATTAGTGTAATTATTATCACCCATTGTAACCACATGATTGTAACAAATTGTCAGAGATGTTGACATTACTTCATAAATACAAAATAAAAGACAATCCAAGCACACCATCCATCTGTCAAAACTTAAAAAAAATTAAATATTTCAAAACTATTAAAAATAAAAAAAATCAAATTTTAGGTTTTCTAGAATTTTACTTAGAATTTGAAAATGCAATATTTATATGGTTTCATTTGAAAAACCAAAGTCGATATCACCGGAAGTGATAACGCATTTGAAAATATTTTTTAAAAATAGTTTACATTGCCTTATAATTGCTAACTATAAAAATTTCAATTCGATCCGTTCTCCATAAACTTCTAATGAATAAGTTAGGTAAATCACCCTGTATAATTGTCGAATTTTCCTGTAAAAATCAAAATTTCTCATTTAAAAATGGACTAAACCCGTTTAAATCCGAAGTAGTGTTTCACAGCACCTAATAGAGAAACTATTTAATAATTTTGTATTTTTGTATTGAGATAATAAAATAATTTCCACATTTTAGTATTATTTCACAAAAAGGGCACTTTATTTTGACGATTATATGTAGAGATTTCATTGTTTTTTTTTCAAATGGTTTTTGAAGCACTATTTTTATGATTTTTCAAATTCATGTGGAGTATGGAAAAAAAACAATAGCAAATTTTTCATTTCATTGGTGATTAAGTCAGAACATTCCGTGGACCAAAAAAGAAAGCCAAAAAAATTTTGAATTTTTGTATTACTGTATTCGTTTTCATCTAAAAACTAGAAACTAGAAGCTACAAATTGCTTTTTTTACGGCTCCAATACGACCATTTTTAACGAAGAAACAGCTATCCGAAAAATCGCAAAAAATTTGGAATTTTTTTTATCCTTTAATTTTTTCTATTAGTGTAGAAGTTTTACATTGCTATTGGTTTCTTATGTGGAAACTACCAAATAATAAGAAATCAGATTTTTTAGTCTCAGTCAAAATTTTCTATTCATTGTAATGAAAAATGTAATATATTCTACATTTCACTTTATTATTAATATACATTTTACTCAAAATTTCATTTTGAAAAATTACTCCATTTTTAAGATTGATGTTATTTATTGACATAATATGCTTTATGGTAGAGGATTTGAAAAAAAAACAAAAAAAAACCGTTTTTTTACATCTTCAGCCTTTGACTAAAAAAACTGAAAATCGCTGCTGCTAACTTCAGCTTGTGACTAAAACGCCACAAAGTCACAGCTTGTCAATGTGTATGTAAAAGATCACTTGATGTCATGAAAACATTTTAAAGATGTGTTACAGGTAAACACTTTACATTAAAAATAAACACATACTTATTTGTATATATGTCTGATATAAATCGAGATTTTTAACGGAAGCGTTAAATTTAATGGTTTTTTAAAACGTGATTATTTTTTATTAGCATTATAAACATTTAATAATGTTAAATAAACATGATTATTTTGTAAGTCTCTACATACTAACTTCAACAAATAATGGTATTATTTATTAGTCAAATATTAAATATTTACTTTACACTTAGGTATGGTACTTAAATAGGCATTGATTTCACTAAAGATAGTAAGTCTCAGTGTGGACCCTTGAGGCACCTCAAAATAAGCAACCTGGTTATTTTGTGTTGGTTGGCAAACTTGCAGTACCAGAGGCAATTCTACTCCAAAAAAATTACGAAAAATTTGCAGCAAATTTTGAAACGTATAGAAAATAATTTTGTTACCGTTCTCGTTTGGAATTACACGTACATAAATGTCTTTTACCTGACTCGCAGGACCAACCCTTATTTCTCCTGTTGTGGTAGTCGTCGCCATGTTCTAAGATTAGGTACAGGACTTAAAAATTTCGAAAAAGATTTTTTCGAAAAATTTTGTTCGATGATTTTCTTGTTTTATTTGTTGTGTGTTGATCACATTTTCTGTAAAAAATACAAAATTAACTCTTACAGTTGACTAAAATTTAATTTAATTTAAACTTAATCGCCAAATCAATTAAATTTGGCAGATTAAAAAACAGGTTTTGCGGTGTTTTTTTTTTTGTTCAAATTAAAGTTAATTATCCGTAAACGTCATATTAATTTTTTATTTAATTATCACCATATAAAGAAAATATAATAATATATACAGGGTGTTTGAAAAACTTTTTGATAACAATATTCCCAACAATAAACATTTAACAAAAATTTGGCAAAAAATAGCCAGAAAACGAGATATTTAACAAAATGTCATAGCTAAAAAATCGTCTTTTATTTCGCGACTAATAAACCTCCAAAGTACTTAACAAAATATAAATAAACAGCATATCAAATCAATTACAAAGTTAATTGGCAATCTACCAATAAACGTACATAAAACTTTAATGAAAAACTCGCAGTCAATAAAATAGCGTAAAAAACCCATAAACTCGAATTTATAGCCTTTAATTATATTTAACGTCACTTCAATTTACAAGAACAATAAAACTGCTTTCGAAAATCGCGAAATAATAATTTTACAACTCACACCTAAGTGCCTGGGTGAAAACAAATGACTACACAACTGTCAGAATGCAATAAAACAAGTTATTTTGCCAAAATAATAAATTGTAACCCTTGTGTTATAAAGGCCATCAAATATTTAAAATATTGCACAAAAACATCTGTATACACGATAAATACTCACAAATACACGATAGTTATTTAATTATTCGCAGTTGAGCACATTTACGTGCAAGTTTAAACCAACATTTAAGATCAAAACCGCTTTGAATACAGAAACAAAACAATACGTACCTCAGCTAAGATTTCCGTGTTATACACAAGACTTTTTAAAGTCAAATTACGCGCAAGATCGTCACAAAAAACGCACGCACTTTTCTCCAAACACATCCGCACTATTTACAATCACTTTAACATCAATTTCGAGCATTAAAAACTCATTTTTATTTACAAAATCCAAGAAAAACACAACTTTACAAATTATCGATCTCAGGCGGCCATTTTAGTAGCAGCTTCCTCCATCGTGAGCGGTACCAACCGAAACGACATCTAGCGTGAAAACACCAAGTTCTCAATGCGATAAAATTGCGTTAAATTGATTATTTATCGATGTTTTAATAATTATAAGCCTATAAAATTTTATGGCAATTTATTTATGAGCTATTTCTTGATTGTTAATTATGGGTTTTGAAAGGTGTGACGTCATTTTTAATACCAACTTAAATAGTTTGAATTGTTGTCATTTTTTGACATAAGAACTGTCAAATATTAAACATAAATTGAAAATATGTTTTTATGATTGTTTTGTTTATAGGAGCGTAAAATACGGGGGAAAATGGATGAATTTAAGCAAAAAATACTTGGATTGCTTAATAAACAGGTATTTATAGGGTTATATCATAGATTTTTGAAATATTTAAATAAATTTTGTTTAAGCCTGCGAAAATTCCTTCCATGGGATTTGATGATGCAAACTATCATTTTCCACAAGTTTGTACCTTATCTATTAATAGTAAAACAGTGCAGGATATTGATAGACCAGCCGATCAGGATATTTTAGAAAGTATCGAAGCTGCCTACTTTTCAATGAACGAAAGCTATGATATTTGTAGATTTGAATTGAGTGTAAGTTTCTTTTACGGTTAAAGTGTTTTTGTTTTGATTTAATTGTTTTAGAAACTCCCTGAGGTGTTGGAATGTGACCAAATTCAACGGGACTTCAAAAATCTTAAAGTTCAACATTCAGTGGTTTCAAAAAAAGTCCTGCAATTAATATTAGAACAGCAAAGCGGTTGCAAAAGTGAGTTTGAGAAAGTCGTGGAAATTTTAGAGCAAGTTCGTGAAACTTTGGAGTTATGTAAAAACTCCAGAAAAGAGTTGAATATAGCTAATAGACAGTTCAATGCTAGTTTAAGTATATTAGCAAATCATAGAAAAAGGAAATTGGCACAAAATTTACTGGGAAATCTCACAATGATCAAAAATTTGGTAAGAAAATTTGTTCATTTCAGTTAATTTTACCTTAATTTTATTTTTTTTATGTCAAAAGTTCAATATTTTCATTGACTTTCAGGAAATGTTAACATTTTATTTGTAACTTATAACTATTTTGTGAGATAATTATTAATTGGCAAACATTAAGGGATATTTTCTACTGTCTTAAAAATTAACATTATTTAATAGGTTGGAACTTGGTTTATTTAAAAATTTAAATGTTAAATTAAAGATTATTTTATTAACTTTAAGATTATCTTCCACTGGTATTTTTAAGCTAATTGAGACCATAGATTTCTAGGATTGAGTCCTTTAAATTTGAAAGGTTTTGATAGACTGTAACTTGGTTAATACAGATTTTAATTTATTAATTTATCAAAATAATAGTAAAAATATTGATTGGAACATTTTTTTGTTTTTCTTAATAAACTAGGTAGGTACCCTGATTATTTTTTAAGATAATTAAGAAAGACGCGTTATTTACATGTCATTTTAAAATTTTTACAAACTGACAGGTTTTAACTTGCTTAATTTTTAAGTTATTTTTATTTTTTATATATCAAATTAAAGAAAATTTTATTGACCTTAACATAATGTAAATATCTTAGTATGCCCCAGTACATTTTCTTAGAGATACAGAACAAAACACAACTCAATTGTAATTTACAAAAGTATATTTGTATACCTAGTGTAAAATTGACACTAAAATTATTTTAGCATAATTTTGATAAAAAATGTCAACAATTGCTACAAAATGAAGACTATGGTTTGGCCATTATGGAATTGAAAAAATGTCAAAAAACAGCTATAAAATATAGGCATTTTACTTGTGTAGCTGCTTTGACTTATAAGTTACAGGAAACATTGGAAAATACAGATACACATTTGGATAAAGTCCTATCCCAGGTATTTATAATCTAAAATGCATTAAAAATATTTAAAATAGTTATTTTGGTTATAAAACATGAGACAAATATTAGAAATAACAAGATAATGACGTAATATTTGACATTTTAAAGTTAAAATTTTGACAGATTACAACTTTTTTAATTTTTGACAGAAGTTAAAAACGTTTATGTCAAATTGTATATGGTTTTATTGACTTTAAAATAATGTCAAAATATAATGCTGTCTAGTTTTGATTGTTTGAGAAAATTGACAAAGTATGATGAGATGTCAATTTCAATACGCTAAAGAAGTCGCTAGTAGCGAC